GGGTACCCAAGGGTTTAGGGTTTAGGGATTAGGGTTTGGGGTTTTGGGGGTTTAGGGTTTAGGGGTTTAGGGTCCCTAAGGGTCCAAGTAACCAATAATCATATACTCTCCCAGATAGTAACCTACATAACTATTCATTATCCGAAACCTAAGTACCGGATTTGTGGGTTCTTTGGACCCCTGGGGTTACTGCCGTTTAGGGTTTAGGGCTTAGGGTTTAGCGTTGACGGAATGCGAAGAACCACAAGCATGCCGGGAAGGCCTTGAGCTCTCTTGGGCTCCGAGGTCTCTGTCATGAGCTCTGTGTTCACCTGCGTCTCTGGTTTAAGGTTTAGGGGCTTTGGGTTTCGGGGTTTAGGGTTTACGGTTTAGGGTTTAGGGGGTTGGGGGTTTAGGGTTCAGGGGTTTGGGGTTTTGGGGTTTGGGGGGTCTCTGTCTTCGCTGGTTTCCGGTTGTTTTGGTTTAGCTGTGATGATGGCGTTGTCCTAAAGCCGAAACCCTAAACCCCAAACCGTTGTGGGTTGTTACTGCTCTTGCGTGGGATTCTCTTCTGCATTAGGGTGTAGCCCTAATCCCTAAACCCTAAACTCTAAATCCAAAACCCTAAACCCTAAATCCTAAACCCAAAACCCTAAACCCTAAATCCTAACCCTCAACCCTAAATCCTAAACCCTCAACTCTCATTAGGATGAGAGTTTAGTGTTTCGAGGATCATGGCTGTTTCGCTGACGTGCGCTTGGTGCGATTAGGGGGGTCTGTCCGTTGTGATGTGCTGCGTTCTTTCGCGCCTGAACCCTAAAACCCTAAACCCTAAACCCCTAGACCTAAACCCTAAACCCCAAACCCCTAGACCCTAAACCCTAAACCCTAAAACCCTAAACCCCAAACCCCAAACCCTAAAACCCAAAACAAACCGCTCCTGTTCTTTGCTCTGCTCGCGGCTGCTCTGAGTCCCAGAGACTCCAAAAAGACTTCATTGAGGGATGTCCCTTCAAGTTTGGTAATATAGGGGCCTTTTTTAGGGTTTAGGGTTTAGGGTTTAGGGTTTAGGGGATAGGTGCCTTAATGATTAGAATAGGGGTCCGTTGAAGGGGCTGTCAAAAGAGATACTATAAGCGCTACTATAAAGGTTTTGGGTTTAGGGGCCTTAATAATTAGGGGTATATTAAACTATAATTATAATAACGAGCCCCCGAAATGGTATAGGTAATTCCTGAGGCTGAAAAGCTGCACTACAAGAAGTGCTCTTTACAACAAAGGCCTGAGGGTTTAGGGTTAAGGGGCTTAGGGGTTGAGGGGTTTAGGGATTTTGGGGTTGAGGGGTCTAGGGATATAGGGGCTTAGGGCTTAGGTTTTAGGGGCTTTTCCTCCTTTCTGTCAGCTTTGCCGGCCTTGACCTGTCGCCATTGGCCTTAGATAGTACAGGGTTTTGGCTTTAGGTTGTAATCGGGGATAGCTACCTGACTTCTAAGCGAACCTCTTCCCACCTACTTCATGTTCCAGGTCGCCTCACTTGTCGTGTGTCGAATGTTCTTCGTAGATGCCAATGACTGACGGTTTCCAATCACAAGAAACCCTCAATACGAGTGGCCCCAATGAAAGTACGTATAATCGTACAAGGCTACTTGCATATGGGTAGTTCTCTAAACTAGGGTCCCTTGTTGGGGTCCCCAATATACTACGGCACCCTTTAAAAAAGGACACCAAAAGGCACCCTAATTTAGAGAGCTACCCATATCCTTGGCCCGAAAGGCTACGAAATTGAAGGAACTTGAGGATCCCGAGATGGAGCCCTTAGGGTTTAGGGCTCAGGGGCCAAGCCCTAAGCACCAGAACCTAAAACCCTATGCTTTTCCACAACACCCTAAACCCCAAATCCTATCCCCAACAGCCTAAACCCAAAGCTCTAAACCCTTAACCCTAAACCCCAACAGTGAAGAACCCGAAGCTCTATCCCCAAAACCCCGAACTAAACGCATGCGATAGGAGGGCCTCCAAGTGAATGTGCATGATCACCGGCACGTTCTTCCTGCCTCTGACGACCACGGGGTACTTCGAAGTAAGGGGATTCGAGAGGTCAGCCATTCAAGATTGCAGATGATTTGGGTGTTGAGGGCTATAGCTTCCGGGTTGCTTGCTGGTTTCCCAAGATGACTATCTTCCAAACTTTTTCGGAGTGCCAAGCGCTGCCGACCGTTTTATTGTACAGCTGGAAAGTATAAGGTGCGCGCGCAAGCGCAATGATGAAGCGATCGCCGAAGAGCGGGTTGCTTTGCAACATTTGTTTTAAGCCAGGGAAGTCACGTCTGTGTTGTTTTAGGGCAGAGTGGTCGAGGTAGTGGTTGAGGTACAGAACCGCTTGTGTAGAAACTAGTTCGTACCAGCACCTGGTGGGGTGACCTTCGTAGGGTTTAGGGTTTAGGGTTTCGGAATTTAGTACGGCCCTTCTAGCTTGGGGAAAAGATCACGTGATGCATGCGAGGGATAGGCGGAGTAGTCGCAGCTTGAATTAAGAGCTTGAACTGTTGTGAAAGGTTGATGGCTCTCCTTAGATACCTGAAATACCATCCATCTATTGTTCTTCCCCTAAACCCTAAACCCTATACCCTACACCCTTCAGGGTTCATAATCTCAGACTAGGATGGCTTAGAGTCTGGGGTTTCGGGCAGACAGCTCACCTCTGAACCCCTCCGAAAGAGTTAAACTTCTAGCCTAAATATAGTCCATATAGCAAACCCAAACAGTTAAAGTCATATAGAAACCCAGCAAGTTACTCATACAAAACCCTGAGCCAAGAAAAGACCTCGAAGCCCACTGCTCTCGGGCCAGCCTGCATCGTGCAACAGCGCTTCCACCAGCCGCTGTGCGAAGATGGCCTGATGGCGCTTTAGGCCAGGGTTGAGGGCTTAGGGTTTAGGGGTTTGGGGGTTTTAGGGTTTAGGGTTTAGGGGTTTACATAGGGGTTTAGGGCTTGGAGTTCCTTTGAACCGGTTTCTACAAGGGTTTCTGTAGGAGATGCCAGAACTGTCTAAGAGCTTCGTATAGATGCCTGATAAAACGAGTAGTACTATTCTTGATAGGAATGTTTAAAACGCCCTCTTATGATCAACCGGAAGACAGGGAGTTGAGTTTTGAAGGTTTAGGGTTTAGGGTTTAGGGTTTAGGGTTTAGGGTTTAGGGTTTAGGGTTTAGGGTTAGGGTTAAGGGTTTAGGGTTTAGGTTTTTAGGCGCAAGGGTTTGGCATGTTTGTTGGAGGGATCTTTCCCGGCGTTGGGGTTCCGTTCGGGGCAGCTCTGGGATTAGGGGTTTAGGGTCCCTTCTAGGGTTTATGGTTTAGGGTTTAGGGCTTAGTTTAGGGTTTAGGGTTAAGGAGTTGGCATTGGCTTCGGGGTTCAGGGTAGCGGTTTCCACGCCCAGAGAACCTCAACCTCAACCGTAAACCCCCCAAACCCTCCACCCTGCTTCAAGGGTCATGGGACGTTGTAAGTTGTAACTAGGGTTGTTACTGGGGTAACTCTACAATTACTGAAGACCCCAGTTAAGGTCCTTAAAACCGTACGTATTAAGTCCCATGATCCTCCAAGTGGCGCCACAATTCGGAGTGAGGGCTCTAGCGACAGGATGTTGATGCTTCGTGGATCCCATCCCCCGAACACTTGAATCTTCAACCCTAAACTCTAAACCCTGAACCAAAAGGGTCCATGTGCCAAAATAGTATATGGGTAGCCTGTAACCAGAACTCCTAGACCCTAAACTCTACGCCTTAACTTAAGCCCCACACCGTCATCACTTCCAAGCTTCTAAACCCAAAACCCCAACCCTAAACCTTAGACTCTGAACCCCAAACTCTACAACCGGAAGCCTAAAGATGTGTGGGTCGTTCAAAAAAGCGTTTTCTGGGGCCGGAGCCTTTGAGTCCACCAGCGCTGCATCCGTGCACTTCGTCACATCCTGAGCTATTGGGGCTTTTAGGGTTTAGGGTTTAGGTTTTAGTGTTTATGTGGTTTTGGGGTTTGGGCTTTAGGGTGTAGGGGTTAGGGTACAAAATATATTTAGATCATAAAGAATCTGACCAACCCCCAAACCGCAATGCCTGGTTAGCAACATCAAGCCATGAAAGACCCGACGCAGAAATGAATAACTGCATAGAAATCCTCTCTCAAAGTACCTGAAACTCCCGAACCCTAAACCTAAACCCTAAACCCTTAACCCTGAACCTAAACCCTAAACCCTAAACCTTAAACCCTTAACCCTAAGCCCTAAACCCTAAACCCTAACCCTAAACCAACAACCTCAACCCTAAACCCAGCGTCTCGCTGATAGATCACCACCGACTTCGACCTCACGAAGCCGGCGCGCTGGAGCACCTGCGGGGAGAAGGGTACCTCGGCGTTGGCGGTTTGGAGGCGTTCAGGGTTGATGTTGGGGGGTTTAGGGTTTAGGGTTTAGGGTTTAGGGTTTAGGGTTTAGGGTTTGGGTATGCTTGAGGGTTTAGAGGTGCGGATAGAGGACCATCCAATCTCAACCACAAATCCTAAATCCTAAACCCAAAATCCTAAACCGGAATCTCAACCACAAATCCTAAACCCTGAATCCTAAACCCTGAACCTCAAACCCTAAATCCTCAAGCCACCATGAAAACCCTAAACCCTGAACCCTAAACCCTAAACCCTAAACCCTAAACCCTAAACCCTAAACCCTGAACCCCCGAGTCTCCAGTAAGGTCTTATGGTCGGCGTGAACCTTCCCTTACGAGGCCGCTTACCAAGAAAGAGCGGTGGAGTTGAGGGTTTAGGGTTTAGGGTTTAGGGTTTAGGGTTTAGGGTTTAGGGTTTAGGGGCGTTTACCAAGAAAGAGCAGTGGAGTTGAGGGTTTACGGCTGATCACCAAGATGTCGGAAAATCTCAGAATTTAGCAGGGTTAGAATCTGGGGTATGGGGTTTAGGTCAAGGGTTTAGGTATTTATGGGTTCAGAGTTTAGGAACCACGGCTTGGGATGTGGGGTTTAGGATTTCGGTGGTTCGTGGCATCCGGGGTTTACTTCGGCGTTATAGGGCTTTTGCGACCTCGCCGTCAGCTTGACCTGCCTCCCTTGCGAAGTTAAAAGGTTTCTCCAAAATTTGCCCAAACCCTAAACCCTGAAGCCTAAACCCTAAACCCTAATCCCTAAACCCTAAACCCTAAACCCTAAACCCTAAACCCTAAACCCTAAACCGTAATAAGTTGGGGTTTGGGACTTGGGACTTCGGTTTTTGGGGCTCCAGGCTTTGAGGCTCGGAACCCAGGGTTTGGGTTTTCAGCTTTCAGGGGTTGGGGGCTCCTTTAAAGGGCCCCATAAAGGGATCTATAGGGTTTAGGGTTTAGGGTTTAGGGTTTAGGGTTTAGGGTTTGGGTTTTCAGCTTTCAGGGGTTGGGGCTCAGTCTTGAAACCCTAGGGTTTCAGGATTTTTCAGAGGACCCATAGGTAGGATCATATATAATGCTCCGTTTAGGGTTTAGGGCTTAGGGCCTGGAGTTTAAGGGGTTTAGGGTTTAGGCATTTAGGATTCAGTGTTTCAGGTTTAAGTTTAGATCAGCCTTCCACCCCTGCGGCCAGGCAGCCCCCAGCACCAAGAACACGGAGGGCTCGTTCATCACCCTCGCCCAGTCAACTGGCACCCGCCTGGAGACCACCACCTGGCCATCTCAGGCTTTCGGGCTTAACCCTAAACCCTACACCCCTAAACCATCCTAAACCCCGAAACCCCTAAACACCTAAACCCTAAGCCCCTAAACCCTAAACCCTAGATCCACCACCCGAAAGCCTAAATCCCTTGAACCGAGGAGTGTCTATATTTGGGGTTGGGCAGCCGAAGGAATGGAAAGGGGTGATGCTGATCGATTGCGACAGCGACTCCCCCAAACCCTAAACCCTAAGACTTAAACCCTAAACCCCTAAACCCCTAAACCGGCTAAAGCTCTAAAGCCCTAAACCGCCTAAAGCTCCAAAACCGCCTAAGGGGCGAAAGCCTAAAGCCTAAACCTTAAACCCCCAATCCCCTAAACCCCTAAGCCGTAAACCCTAACGAGCAGTGGAAGTGTTGTGGTGTTCATGCTCGCTTACCAGCGATCGAAGTCATGGCACGTCACTTACAAACATAACCTTCTGCGGGACAGCACATAGGTGACCTAAAGAGGGACCCTAATTTCGAGCACGGCCCACATAGCAGGGGGATCTAGGTGTGTCTTTGCATATGCGGAGACACCTGCTTAAACCCTAAACCCCAAACCCTAAACCCCAAACCCTAAACCTTAAACCCTAAACCCTAAAACCCTAAACCCTAAACCCTAAACCCCAAACCAATATGAGTTGCAGAAGATGTCTGTAGGCTGGGCTACTGCAAGAGCCTCCACAGTCCATCCCTGAAGCCTACACCATATACCCTACGCTAACCCCAAACCCTAAGCCGCTCTCTAAACCCTAAACCCTAAACCCTAAACCCTAAACCCTAAACCCTAAACCCTAAACCCTAAACCCTAAACCAAACCCTAAACCAAACCCTAAACCCTATAAACCCTAAACCCCAAACTCTAAACCCAAACCTTAAACCCCATAAGCCCTAAACTCTCTATATAAACCCTAAACCCTTCCCAACTCCCCCCTGGTGGAAGCCAGGCCGCGATCGGACGTCGCTTCCGCTGGCACCTGCGAAAGCAGGGAAAGCAACGAGGGTCGGGCTCGAGTTCAAAAGTTTAAAGATGAAGATCTGGATTTTTCAACCCTTTCGGAAGCTTGAGGGTTTAGGGGGTCTAGGGTTTAGGGTTTAGGGTTTTAGGGTTTAGGGTTTATGGTTTAGGGTTTAGGGGTCCAGCCCCATGTGACACATACACTTCCTCAAAAGGAGCTCCTCGCTCAACCTTCATATACGGGCCTTCATAAACAGAACAGGTCATAGCATAAATAGATGGGGGGTTATAAGGGGAGACTACTTCTCACTATTCAGATTCAGACCCCTGTATCTTGCGCATTACAGGTAACTATGGCAATAAACACATTAGCGAACATAGACATAGCAGCAACGATACGAATCACAACAAGCATATTCATGAGCCCGAACCCTAAACCCTAAACCCAATAGCCTATAGCCCATTCCCTTAACAGTCTCCACAAACCTGAAGCCCGCTGAAGTGAGAAACCCGCAACTTCCAAACCAAGGCCGCCACGCTGAAGGGTGAGGCCGCGCGTGGCCTCATAGTCCAGGCCTCGGGACTTGATAGCGAAAACACAGCTTGCGAAGGGCTGAATGTCGGAGGCCTTAATGCTCAAAATAAGATACATGTTTGTGCAAATAAATAGCGACTGCAAGGAGCCAGACCTCTGCGCCGAGCTCTTCAGCAAGGTTCATAGGATTTTTGTGTGCAGGGTTTTGGGTTGAAGGTTAAGCTTGCATACCAAAGCTACATTTCACCATTCGGAGTGTGCAAGTTGACAACAAACTCACACACACATGCCTTTGGCATGCAGTCTCAAGGTCCGCGTGAAAGGCTGGAAGTGCTGCAAAAAGGTTCTGCTCGCAGAAACGGCACAAATGTCTTCTGTCTCATGCCGACTCTATTGCAAACAGGCTTACAGTAACCCTAAACCCTAAACCCTTTGTCGACCCCTCCATTGTTGTATGAGGACCGCTTAAATTGGCTTAATTAAAGGAAGAGGGACTTTTGCCTTCCAAAAGCCTTTGGGGCTTTAGGCTTTAAGGTTTAGGGTAAGAATGGACCTTAACATGATGTACGGATCCCTACAATAACTTAGGGTATCTATTCCTTAGCCAAGGAACTTTAAAGAAGTGTAATATGGGGGCCCTTCCTGGACCCCAAAAGTACGTAGAATAATAGCTTTCTGGAGGTTTTGGCCTTAGGGTTTACCTGGACCCTTAAGGGCCTACCTGTTTGGGGTTCCTTATTATGATTTCCCTATCCTTGAAAAAGGTAGGTTTTTGGGGCCTTAGGCCTTAGGGTTTCGAGAGACACGTAATGGATGGGCCTTAAATACTTTTCAATAGGGTTTTCGGGGCATCTGATACTATAGTCATAATAAGAAACCCAAAATACTATTGGTGATTACTGAGGCCGCCATGTTAGAACCTGGTGGTTTAGAAGTCTTTTAGGGGAAGTGCACGGTGCTTACAAGACAGGCAGGTTTTGCTGACACCGCGCTTTATTGCTCGATCAGGAACAAACATGTTTCTTTCAGCTACGCCTCAAGCCTCACAGACAAGAACACGCAAACGCAAACACCGCCACACGCACACAATATAGGGACCTTGTTAACTGGAACAGGGTTCGGGGGTATATTATACTATAATCAAAATAGGGAACCCCCCCAAAACCCTATTCTAAGTATTTAAGGCCCCTACAACCCTAAACCCTTAACACTGATCCGGCAAACGGCCGACAACCTGTCCGAATCCTAGCTTGGTTCCCGCCAAAAAAGTATAGGTATTTATTTCGGTCCCTATATTACCAGGGTTTAGGGTCTAGGGTTTGGGGTTTAGGTAAAAGCAAAAAATAACATTCGTCCCCTGGCAACATAAGACTTCCTTCATCCTATCCTTCCTTCCATGCATACCCCCCCCGCCCCCAGAACCCTGCAAAACCACAACCAATAGTCCATGCGCCGATAGTCTGCGAGCCTTACTGAGGATCAGGCGACTTAGTAAGGGTAGATAAGCCTAGCCTAGTTCGATGTCACAATACGCATTAGCGTGTATACTTCTAAGCTAACTACCTCCATGGAAACCGTCCTGGCAGACAAAATCCCAACCGTTTTAAACCCAGAGAGCCCAATACCCCTTAAATAAGGAATATACCTTAAACTATAGGGGCCTTAATATTATGATTTAAAATATATTCCCATAGTTAAAGGGTATTGGGCTCTCTGGGAAACTGAGGCATGGACTTCCTTCATCAGCTCGAAGACAAGGCCAGGGAAGATGACCAGACTTAGCATGGCGCCAGAAACAACGCAATGGTAGTTCTCTAAATTAGGGTTTAGGGTTTAGGGTTTTAGGGTTTAGGGTCCCCTTTTAGGTCCTCCATATAGTACGGCACCCTTATAAGAAGGAGCCTAGAAGGGACCCCAAGTTAGAGAACTGCCCACATAATCTCTCCACCCTGAAGCTTGTAAGTCGCGACTTGGGTGTAAGGCTTTCGGAGTTTAGATGCTTGGGACTCCTGTTGGCCATGAAGCCATACGTCACCCATCCAGCAATGAAGCTGAGGCCGAAATGAAAAAAAGTCTTGCGCACCTAAACCTTCAACCCTGAACCCTAAACCCTCAACCCTCTTGTTCGGCTCCTGTCGAGGAGCTTCAGTTCAAGTAGCCATCATGGGGGGTTTACGCCGTTGATCGCATTCCTTTCGACAAAAACCTCTAGAACCCTCTGTTATAGGGTTCAGGGTGAAGGTTTTTGGTTTAGGGTTTAGGGTTTAGGGACTCTAGTACCTCTTTTAGCCTCATAAGACCCTCTTTAGAAAGGCGGCTCTTGCTAAGCAAGGTTTAGACTATGGGCGGTGGGTTTTCGAAGCCGAACACGCAGGTCTCGCGAGGGGGTCGGGTTGAGTCAACTTACAAGGTTACTTGGAGGGTCGGGAGACTAAGTAAGTAGGTAATAAGGAGACTTATAAGTACCCTAAACGGACCCTAATTGGGGTTGTAGTACTTACAAGTCTACACAATCACCATTTACTGAATCCCCCGACCCTCCAAGTAGGGTTTGTAGTTTAACCCAGACCACCGGGAGGATCTAAGAAGTAGATCCCCTAATTGGGGACCCTAACTACTAAAGGGTACTTGATAGGAACCTCCTTAAGGGGATCTACTTTCTGGCTCCTCCCGGTGGTCTGGGAAGCCCAAGTAAACGGAATCCAGCACCAGTCGGGCTTCGTCTGTGCTCCAATATTTTGGAATCCAAATCCTCAACTTGAACACCCAGCCCAAACTCCGCGATTTGATCTCATGGTTTCTGACTATGACTGTTTTGTAAAGCAACAACAAGGGAAACTCGTCACGAACGTCCTCCATTAGATGCCTCAACTAACATAAGTGCAACCCTTATAGGTTTAGGGTCTAGGGTTTAGGGTTAAAATGCCCACAACATGTTGTGAGGATCTGACGATGACGATTGCAACCGCTGTGGCTAGGGCTTGGTCTAAGGTTTGGGGTTTAGCATCCGCAGCACTAGGTCGAGGCATCAAGCGTGGCCTTACACCGACGTGCTGCGATCATGATCTTCTGATGGGAAACCCCACAACCCTAAACCCTAAAGCCCTAAACCCTAAAGTCCTACACCCTAAACCCTACAACCTAAACCCTAAACCCTAAACCCTAAAACCCTAAACCCTA